AAACAACAAAGGTCTCAAATAAACAACTTAACCCTATACCTAAAGGAGCTGGAGAAAGAACAGCAAAGAAAGGCTAAACCCAGCAGGAGAAGAGAAATCATAAAGATCAGAGCAAAAATCAATGAAATTGAAACCAAAAGAGCAGCAGAACAAATCAATGAATCTAGGAGCTGGTTCTTTGAAAGAATTAATAAGATTGATAAACCCCTGGCCAGACTTATCAAAAAGAAAAGAGAAATGATCCAAATAAAATCATGAATGAAAGTGGAGAGATCACAACCAACACCAATAAAATACGAACAATTATAAGAATATACCATGAGCAACTCTATGCCAGCAAATTTGACAATCTGGAAGAAATGGATGCATTCCTAGAGATATATGAACTACCAAATCTGAAGCAGGAAGACATAGAAAACCTGAACAGACCCATAACCAGTAAGGAGATTAAAGCAGTCATTAACAATCTCTCAAGAAACAAGAGCCCAGGGTCAGATGGCTTCCCAGGAGAATTCTACCAAACATTTAAAGAAGAATTAATACCTATTTTCCTAAAACTGTTCCAAAAAATAGAAATGGAAGGAAAACTTCCAAACTCATTTTATGAGGCCAGTGTTACCTTGATCCCAAAACCAGTCAAAGACCCTACCAAAAAGGAGAAATGAAGACCAATATCCTTTATGAACACGGATGCAAAAATTCTCACGAAAATACTAGCCAATAGGATCCAACAGTTCGTTAAAAGGATTATTCACCACGACCAAGTGGGATTTATCCCTGGGCTGCAAGGTTGGTTCAATATCTGCAAATCAATAACAGTATAACACAATACATTAATAAAAGAAAGGACAAGAACCATATGATACTCTCAATAGATGCTGAAAAAACATTTGACATAGTACAGCATCCTTTCTTGATCAAAACTCTTCAAAGTGTAAGGATAAAGGGTACATACCTCAATATCATCAAAGCCATCTATGAAAAACCCACAATGAACATCAAAAACTGGGACTTTTCCCCTAAGGTCAGCAACATGGCAGAGATGTCCACTATTACCACTGATAGTCAACATAGTACTAGAAGTCCTAGTCTCAGGAATCAGACAACAAACAAAAATAAAAGGCATCTGATCAGCAAAGAAGTAGTCAAATTCTCACTCTTTGTAGATGATATAATACTGTATGTGGAAAACCCAAAATACTCTACTCCAAAACTGCTAGAATTTGTACAGGAATTCAGCAAATTGTCAGGATATAAAATCAATGCACAGAAATCAGTTGCATTCTATATACCAACAGCAAGACAGAAAAAAGAGAAATTAAAGAGTGGATCCCATTTATGATTGCACCCAAAACCATAAGATACCTAGGAATAAACCTAACCAAAGAGACAAAGAATCTACTCAGAAAACTGTAAAATACTCATGAAAGAAATTGAAGAAGACACAAAGAAATGAGAAAACATTCCATGCTCGTGGTTTGGAAGAACAAATATTGTGAAAATGTTTATGCTATCTAAAGCAATCTACACGGTTAATGTAACCCCTATCAAAATCCCATTCTTTTTTTTTTTTTTCAAAGAAATGGAACAAATAAGCCTATAATTTATATGGAACTAGAAAAGACCCCAAATACCTAGAGGAATGTTGCAAAAGAAAGCCAAAGTTGGTGGCATCACAATTCCAGACTTCAAGCTCTATTACAAAGCTGTCATCATCAAGACAGTATGGTACTGACACAAAAACAGACACATAGATCAATGGAACAGAATAGAGAGCCCAGAAATGAACCCTCAACTCTATGGTCAACTAATATTCAACAAAACAGGAAAGAATGTCCAATGGAAAAAAGTCTCTTCAACAAATGGTGTTGGGAAAATTGGACAGCCACATGCAGAAATATGAAACTGGACCATTTCCTTATACCACACACAAAAATGGACTCCAAGTTGATGAAAGAACTCAATGTGAGATAGGAATCCATCAAAATCCTTGAGGAGAACACAGGTAGCAACCTCTTTGATCTCAGTCGCAGCAACGTCTTCCTAGAAACATTGCCAAAGGCAAGGAAAGCAAGGGGAAAAAAGAACTGCTGGGATTTCATCAATATCAAAAGCTTTTGCACACAAAGGAAACAGTCAACAAAACCAAAAGACAGCTGACAGAATGGGAGAAGATATTTGCAAACAACATATCAGATAAAGAGCTGGTATCCAAAAGCTATAAAGAACTTAACAATCTCAACACCCAAAGAACACCTAATCCAATCAAGAAATGTACAGAGGACATAAACAGACATTTCTGCAAAGAAGACATCCAGATGGCCAACAGACATTTGAAAAAATGCTCAACATCACTTGGCTTCGGGAAATACAAATCAAAACCTCAATGAGATACCACCTCACACCAGTCAGAATGGCTAAAATTACCAAGTCAGGAAACGACAGATGTTGGGAAGGATGCAGAGAAAGGGGAACCCTCCTACACTGTTGCTGGGAATGCAAGCTGGTGCATTCACTCTGGAATACAGCAAGGAGGTTCCTCAAAAAGTTGAAAATAGAACTACCCTACAACCCAGCAATTGCACTACTGAGTATTTACTCTAAAGATACAAATGTAGTGATCCGAAGGGGCATGTGCAACGAAATGTTTCAAATGTTTATAGCAGCAATGTCCACAATAGCCAAACTATGGAAAGAACCTAGATGTCCATCAACAGATGAATGGATGAAAAAGAGGTGATATACACACAAACAGAGACACAAAGACACACACACACACGCACTGGAATACTATGCAGCCATCAAAATAAGTGAAATCTTGCTACTTATAGCAATGTGGATGGAACTAGAGGGTATTATGCTAAGCGAGATAAGTCAATCAGAGAAAGACAATTATGTGATATCCATGATATGATTAATTTGAGAGGCAGAGTGGGGGGTTTGTGGGGTAGGGAAGGAAAAAATGAAACAAGATGGGATTGGGAAGGAGACAAACCATAAGAGACTCTTAATCTCACAAAACAAACTGAGGATTGCTGGGGAGAGGGCGGTATGGAGAGGTGGTTGGGTTATGGAAATTGGGGAGGGTATGTGATATTGTGAGTGCTGTGAAGTGTGTAAGCCTGATGATTCATAGACCTGTACTCCTGAGGCAAATAATACATTATATGTTAATAAAATAATCAATACAAAAAATATATATATACAACCCCTACCGTGGATAAAGCATATGCTTAGTTATACATTCTGAGTTTGTACATACTAACATATTAAACATAATCACAAAACATTTAAAGGAAGATTTGACAGAATGGCAAGGAGAAATTAACAAATCCATAATGATTATGAGAAATTTATTATATATTTCCCATAATTTTTAAACTAAATGACATATCAGTGAAGATATCAAAGATTAGAATGCAATTATTTTTGTATCTGTTGGCTGCCATAACTATCATCTAGACACCTACTTCCAACAACTCATACACATTCTTTTCTTTTATACATGAAACATTCAGAAAATCGGTATCTTGGGAAAAAAGATTCTATGTTTTCAAAATTGGTATTATACAGACTATATATTCTCATGATAATGTAATAATGATGTAAGCCAATTACAAAAAGGTAAACTTCAAAACTCATACCTGAGAAATTATAAACCTAAGTCTAAAATATCATGGTTCAATGAATGAAGTGTAATGGACATTTTAAATATTCAAAATTGAATAATTCATAAAATACAGCCTCTGTTAGCTTCCTGTTGCTGCTACAACAAATTGCTGAAAGCTTAGGGGCTTGAAACAACATGGATTACTATCTTACCGTTCTGAAGGTGAGAAGTTTGAATGGATCTTGGCTAAAGTCAAGGTGCAGCAGGGCTGCAGTCCATCCTGGAAGCTCTAAGCAAGAATCTCTCTCCTTGCCTTTTCTGGTTTCTGGAAGCCACCTGCATTCCTTCATTCATGACCCCCTTCACCTTCAAAGAGTCTTGAGTCTTCTTCACGTTACATTACAGGATTCTGATTTCTGACTTCTATTTTACTTATAAAGATTGTCATTACAGTGAGTCTACCTAGTTAATCCAGGATAATCTTCCCAATTGAAAATCAGCTGATTAGAAGACTTAATTCAATCTGCAACCTAAGTTGTCCCTTGCTATGTAACATAATTTATTGATAGGTCATTAGCATGTGGACATCTTTGATGAGGTTGGGTTTTTGCTTATTCCACAGCTGAAGTATTATTTTGAGGGAAAAATAAAGGCAAATACTATAAAAAAGAAAGTCCAAATTTTAAAAAGTTAAGATTTATTCACTTATTTTAGAGAGAGAGAGAGAGAGAGAGCACAGGGGAGAGGGGCAGAGAGAAAGGTAGACAAGCAGACTCCCTTCCGTATGGGAAGCCCTATGCAAGGCTTGATCCCAGGACCTGGAGATCATGACCCAGCCAAAAACAAGGGTCAGATGCCCAACCGACTGATCCACCCACATGCCCTGAAAGGCCAAATTTTTGAGGTACATAGCAATTTTTAAGAAGAGAAAAAGAAAATCTGAATAAACTAAATAAAAGATGAAGGAAATATTTATGATAAGAAAACAATTAATGAAACAGGACACAAAGCTGCCTCTTGAAATAAATAATAAAAAGTAAAACAAAGTCTTTTGCAAATTCAGTCTAGAAAAATGGACTAATCAAACATTAAAGACAACAAACAAAATGAACAACAACAAACAACAACAAAAAAGAGTTTACAGATCAATTTCTTATATTAATATAGATGCAAAAGTATGTACAAAGCTAAATCAAGTGGTGTAGAAAGTCATAGACTTTATTAAAAACTTTTGTGTCTTACAGGAAAGCAGACAATATAAAATTAAAATCTTTAATTTTAATTTTAATCCACTAATAAGAATAAAAGTGTAACATAAACTGGGTGACTTAAAACAACAGAAATTTATTGTCCTATTGTTCTGGAAGCTAGAAGTCTAAAATCAAGGTGATGGCATGGCCATGCTTCTTCTGAAACCAATAGGGGAATCCTTCCTTGCTCTTCCTAAACTTCTGGTGGTTTGTCAGCAATCTTTGATATTCATTGTAGATGCATGCCTCCTATCCTTCCGTCTTCACATGGCCTTTCCCTTGTGTGTCTTCATATCATCTTCCCTCTGTGAATGGTGAATATAGTTAACAATGTTGTATTGTATATTTATAATATTTGACTTAAAATCACCATAAAACCATGTAATAACAAACCATATCATTACACAATTCTGCCTCCTAGATTTTAAAGCAGCTGCTCAATGAAATCAGTGCCTTATGTACCTAATTTCATCATGCACTAAAGAAGCCACTCATGTGTTCCATGTTGTCTATGTTTACAAAATCCATACTAACACCACATTTTACAAAGAAACATTTAGAGCTATGGGTTTCTTGTGGAAATCTTTCTCTTTGTATTTCCTTGAATAGCAATAAGAAAATCAACTCTTGTCCTTTCCCTAGGAACTTAAGAGGGAGTATACTTGCAGGTGAAATACATTATCTTTCTTCTGTTGAAATGAAACTACAATCTATGTGCTCAGTGGAATATGCAAACAGCAGATTGAACTTGGTTGCAGAGAATTTTCTGTTCCTGATAACATCTGTTGTACTTGACAGATGCTCCAGTGCCAACTTCACACCAAGTAAAGTGAGACTACAAGAAAGTAGAAATGCCCAGTGTTTAAGCTTCTTTTCTGAGCAAAAACACCATTAACCCAGACTCTAGGCTCTGAACTGCATAAACTCTATATAATGTTTGCACCTTGTGAATGCTAAGCATATGTGATTTCAATGATTAAAATATCACATTCCTCAATCTTTGCTTCCTGACAGGCAGAAGGTCTGGTTTCCTTAATCTTCCATTTGAGTTCATAACGTTTCAAAACGTTTGTCTTTTTTCCCTATGACTATCAAAGAAATAGAATATTTGAAAAATGTGAAATGTTTCTTCCCAATCATAAGAACAACATCATAATGATATTAAATGGATATGCAAGGAAAATGAACAGTAAGATGATTCAAAAGGACATGCAAATAATAAACACATGTTAGACATTATTGGAATTTGCTCGTATTCAAATGAATGCAACTTAAAACAAAAAAGAGATATACTATATAAGACATATACTTTCAAAATATGATTCTAAAAGCTAGTCTAGTGAATAGTACATTGATTCCAGAGTACATTGATTCCATCAACAGTAAAGTAGCACATTTATATGCTAATTTTGGAAAATAGTTTGGCATATCAAATGTCATTAAAAAGTTTTTTTTTTTTAAACTCACTTTAGGAAACTGCTGGTTAACTTTGTGCTGAAAAACAAACACCAGCTAAACACTATTTTGTGTTTGTTCCTCCACAGAATTTGACTGTAGAGAAGAAGCTGGAGAAACCAAAGGGAAATACAGATCCCAGAAATAAAAAAACTGAGCAATCAGTTCAGAACATTGAGCATGTTTTGAATTGTTTGTATGTAGAAAATGAGTGTAAATAAGCATACGGTAAGATATTTCATATCATATGTTGTCATGGAAATGCAAATTTAAACAATGAGATACCACTAGAAAACTATTGGAATGGCTAGAATCCAGAATATTAACAGCAACATATGCTGGTGAAAATGTGGAGCAACAGAAACTCTCATTCATTGCTGGTGGGAAAGCAAAATGGTACAACCACTTTAGTTTGGCAATTCTTAGAAAATTAAACATACTCTTATGACTCAGTAGTCTCATTCTCTGGTATTGACCCAAAGGAGTTGTCCACACAGACACCTGCACATAGGTGTTTATGGCAGCTTTATTCAAATTGCCAAAACTTGGAAGCAATCAAGATGTCCTTCAGTGGGTGAATGGAGGTGCATGCGGACAATGGAATATTGTTCAGTAATAAAGGGCAATGAGTTATCAAGGCATGAAAAGAAATGGAGGAAACTAAAATGCATATTACTAAGTCAAAGAAACCAATCTGGAAAGACTACTTACTGTATGATTTCAACTGTATGACATAGAGCATGAAAATACTCTGTATGGTACTATAATGGTGGAAACATGTCATTATACATTTTCCAAACTCATAGAATATTCAACACCAAGAGTGAATCCTAAGATAAACTATGGACTTTGGATGATTATGATGTCAATGTAGGTTCATCAGCTATAACAAATGTATCACTTTGGTGGGAGATACTGATAATGGGGGAGGCTCTGTATGTATGGAAAGAGGATATATGAAAAATCTCTATACCTTCCTATCAATTTTGCAGTGAACCTAAAACTGCTCAAAAAATTTAAAGTCTAAATTTAGAAAAATAAATTTTACAAATATAAATAAATAAGACACAAAAGGCAACAGCAATAAAACTCCAAAACATAAGGATAACTAAAATATCTCCTGTGTTTGTAAACTAGAAAATGTCTTCATAAATAACCCATGTATTAAAAAATATTCACAATGGAAAAATGTTTTAAAAATACTTAAAAGTGACTCATAATAGAAAACAACACAAGTCAGTGTTTGTGTTTGCATCACAACTACAACAGTAAAAACTCATTATGAAATCCCAATCAAGATTTTATTTGAATATTATGAGAAACGATTAATTTTCTCTAAATTAATATTAAGCACATAGCAAAAGGAAATACATTAAAGCATTGAGGATGGTAGTCTACAAGAATTGGAAGAGAGAAAATACAAAGAAAAATATATACTTCTGCAATTCAACTAATTTAAGTAGATAACTTATAAGAAAAATATACATGATTTTTGTAATTATACAATTCAGAAGAAAATATATGTATACAGATGGGTTTATTACAGTATAATCTGTAGTGAAGATATAATATTACCCTTTTCAATGCCCAACAACAGAGAAATAGCACAGAAGATTAACAGTGTAATATTAGGTAGGCTTTAAAATAATAGGGAAGATTATGTAGATTCATCTGATAAGAATTTTTAAAGGAACAGTTGTTTTCATTAAAAATAAGTTTGTTTTGGGGCTCCTGGGTGGCTCAGTGGGTTAAGCCTCTGCCTTTGGCCCAGGTCATGATCTCAGGGTCCTGGGATCGAGCCCCGCATCGGGCTCTCTGCTCAGCAGGGAGCCTGCTTCCCCCTGTCTCTCAGCCTGCCTCTCTGCCTACTTGTGGTCTCTCTCTCTGTCCAATAAAAGTAAATAAAATCTTAAAAAAAAACCAAAAGTTTGTTTCATTATATAGGGGCATGGGTGACTCAGTCAGTTAAGCATCTGACTCTTGGTTTCAGCTTAGGTCATGGGATAGAGCCACTATTGGGCTCTGTGCTCAGTGTGAAGTCTACTTCAGATTCTTTCTCCCTCCCCCTCTGCCCCATCCCTTTCTCTCTCTCAAATAAATAAATAAATAAATTTGTTTCATAAAATACACAATGTAATTTTTGATGTTAAAGATCCCAATTATATATAAACCAGATGATATACACATGAATAAAAATAAAATAAATCAGAGATAATATAAAGCATTATGTTGAAGTGAGTTTAAGATAATAATATAACATATACTTTTAGTTTCTTTAAAATACTGTATAATAGTGTCTCAAAAAGAAATATAGTTTGAAATCTTGGAAGTTTTCTATAAGAAATTTATGAAAGAAAACATGAGTTTCACAGTTTTATATGGAATATTATTCAGTTATCAACCACTCATACTAATGGTGGAATGCCAAAATATGGTCACTGTACATGTAAAAACTTCATTTCATCCTCATTTTACCTTGTACCCATATATTGACATCAGTCTCATGACTTCTGTTTACCCTGACCATATCTATTGAATTCAATTCAATAGGAAGTTATGGAGAACTTAGTGAAGAGGGGTTGGATTAATTAGACTGGATTGCTTTCCTGATGAAACATCCAATCTACCATGTACTGAACACTTAGCATGTATCAGATTCTATACAAATATTATACATGGTATGTTCTAATTATATTATCTAAAACCAAGCACAGAAGAGCATGGCATGCACAGTGATAAGGCATGTGAAGCTGTGCAAGCCTTTTGTACAATGAGCATAGCCGTTATGTGTTGCATAAACAAAGAATTTGAGTAATGTACTGGCTAGTACTATACCACTGCATTATTGCTGTGGCCCTCAACTGGTGTGCCTAGGACACTGGTAAACCAAGAACCCTCAGAGATTTGTTTGTATATTATCATTAAAGTATACAGTTTATTTTGCTGCAACTGATCTTACCTATTATCATGGCAACCAATCAGATGGAATGTTGTTCTGGGAAGGTTATGCGACCTGGTGTAAGTATATTATGGACTTACCAGAAAGTGTGGGAGAGAACTTTTCTTCTTGAAGGAATGAAACGGCATTTGGGCAGTGAATATTTCTAGAAAAACAGCAAAAACAGGTTTAACGAGCAATGAAGAAAAATTATTTTCTAGACAATGAGACATTCCTTTGTTGTAATAATGACAGTAAGGTAACTATTGCTGATTTGCTTAGGTGGTTTTTTTTTTCCCTCTCCTGGAAAAAAAACACCTAACGGGGCACCTGGGTAGCTCAGTGTGTTAAAGCCTCTGCCTTCGGCTCAGGTCATGATCCCAGGGTCCTGGGATCAAGCCCTGCATTGGGCTCTCTGCATAGCAGGCAGGGAGCCTGCTTCCCCTTCTCTCTCTGCCTGCCTCTCTGCCTATTTGTGATCTCTCTCTGTCAAATAAACAAAATCTTAAAAAAACAAAAACAAAAGAAAACACCTAAGCAGATCAGCAATAGTTATTTGGTCCTGCTGAGAGTTCCATCCAAATAGTAATTCTGAAAGAGAGTTGTTAGCCTAAGAAGGACAACCACTGGATTTATGAATTCCCTAAATTCATTTTCTTATCATATCAAGCTCCTTGCTAGCCAAAAAAGAAAAAAAAACTAAAATAAAATCCAACAAAAACGACACCAATAAAATAATTTTTTCAACCTGCAAAATCTAACTTTTGTAATTTACTAAGCTCTTTTCCCAATTTCTCAATTCCTAGGAAAGTCATCTGTTGCCTTGCCTCTCAAGACTTCACAGCAGCTTTTTTTTGTACCTAGAAATGTCCCATTACACACACACACACACACACACACACACACACACACAAACACACACACACATACATACACTGAGCTAGACTGATAATATAGGCATTTCAAGAAGTTCTAGTTGGTAACAGCACCATTTGGAACATTTGCAAACCCAGAGTCAGCTCCAGAATTGGCATGAAATCAGAGCTTGATGTGAGCAGCTGGATGGGAAAGTTTGGGTAGGTGAATTGCTTTGTAGTTGGTTTGAGTGGCAAACACACTAACCTTGTGGTCTATTTCAGGTGGCTAATGGGGTGTCTGATGGAGTTTGCCCAAGTAACCCACTGTCCTTTCTCTTAGTTAAAATCTCTTCTCCTGTTGTAGCAGCTGGATGTCAGATGGCCCTTTCAAGATCCGAGCTTCTAGAAAACATTGTGATTTCAGAAGCGTTAATATAATAAGTAATTAAAGGTAGCTGTTGCTTTAAAATACATCTCTTAGATGGTATTTTAATGTTTTTATAGAAGTAGATTTTGGAAAAGATACTGAAACCTGGCGAACGGTACATCCTTCAGAAATAAGAAAAACAAGGAAGCCTTATCTCTGTCAGAGAGAAGACTACAGCCTCAAGTCCCCAAAACTATATGGAAACGTTATAATCAAAGCCACAAGGCAACATGGTGCACAGAAATATGCTGAGAAATATAGATCACACTATTGCCAAGAAGCCCTTAGGGCATCCAGAGCAGAGGCTCTGGTGATAATTTATCACCAGTATGAAATCATTAAATAATGAATATCACACCTTTTAAATTACATTGCATTATAATTGCTATTCTAAAAGTGAGTCATAAGCTGTGATTTGACCTTGAGAAACAACTGAACATTTTTGGAGAGTTTCCACATCTGTTGTACAAAGTGATTGGATTGTATTCAGAGTCAAAACAGTGTTATTGAGAATCTAGAATATGCAGGTGTTTTTAACATGTTTTAAAATATCTATTTTAATAATGTTTATTAAATAGTTATTAAATATGCTCCTATGGAAGAATGACCACATTTCAGCAGTAGATTGGGTCGTAGTTCTCCACTGGGGGCAGCACAAGACTGGTGACCAGTGCAAAGGTGGCATGAGATGATAATCACAGATGCTAGTGTGGACATTTGCCTCCTCCTGGTGCCATAAGGCTACCATTATAAAATAAGTGTCGCACCTGAACTAATTTAAGATCTTAATAAGGTGTATAAACATGACATATTTACATTAACATTGTTTTCCCATAAAATAACAGCAACCAGTTAATGGTCTAAAAACAATCAGTGAGGGGCGCCTGGGTGGCTCAGTGGGTTAAAGCCTCTGCCTTCGGCTCAGGTCATGATCCCAGGGTCCTGGGATCGAGCCCCACATCAGGCTCTCTGCTCAGCAGGGAGCCTGCTTCTCCCTCTCTCTCTGCCTGCCTCTCTGCCTACTTGTGATCTCTCTCTCTGTCAAATAAATAAATAAAATCTTTTAAAAAATAAATAAAAACAATCAGTTAATGGTAAAAATAGGAAGTGAAAACTGATAAAATACTTAGGAATATCTTTTAATTAAATTTATATCTTCTTTAATTAAAGAAACCTGTAACATTTCACAGTAAGCTGTAAATGATGAATAGTGATTATTGAGAAGACTGGTCAAAATGCATATTACTGTCACATCAAATTGTAGATTTAACATAGTTGAAGTCAATTTGCTTTTTTAAAGATTTATTTATTTGACAGAGAGAGAGAGATTCACAAGCAGGGGAAGGGGCGGCAGAAGGAGAGCAAGAAGCAGGCTCCCTGAGGAGGAGAGATGCCAACGTGGGGCTCCATCCCAGGACACTGGGATCATGACCTGAGCTGCAGGCAGACAGTTAACAAACTGGGACACCCAGGAACCCCAAAGTTAATTTTTGATGAGTTATTTATACTATAATTCTTTAATTTATTTGGAAGAATAAGCAAGTTAATATAATAAAATAGATAAGAGCTGGGATTGACTCCAAATTGCTAAAGTTTTAATAATTCTATAAAATACACTTAAATCTGGATAGAAAAATAGAACTAAATTGTGTCTTAGGAAGAGACACATTTTATATAAAAATTAAATTTTATGATTAGAATTATACAACAGTAGAGGTTGTTGGACAAGGGACAGAATAGTCAATAAAACCTGTTAGAAAATTACTTGGTGCACTAGAATTTTTACAGTTTGTAAGCATCAAAAACTAAATTCAAACTCATATAAAGAAAAATAAGAATTACTGGTTTATATAATAGAAGGTACAGGGCGCACTATAAGTATGTCTGAATCCAGGAGTTAAAGTTAAGCCATCAAGACACTGTCCCTTTCTATTTTATTGGTTCTCCTTTTCTTTGTGAAGCCTTTATTCTCATTTGGGTCGCCCAACCACATATGAGCACAAATATGACTATTGGCAGCTTCAGGCCCACCTCTGACCAGTAGAGAAACCCCGGAAGTGGAAGGTAACTTATTCTCCATAGTATTGCACAGAAATATCTGGTTGACTTTCACTGGACTGGTCCACATGCTAGGTTGCAATGCCTACGTCACTCACCTCACTTCATCTCATCAAACAGGCATTTTATCATCTTACAGCATCACAAGAAGAAGGCTGAGTACAATACAATAAGCTATTTTGTGCACACAAAAGAATTGCATTCATATAACTTTTATTATAGTATATTGTTATGATTCTATTTTATTATTAGTTATTATTGTTGATCTCTGGCTGTGCTAAATTTATAAGTTAAACTTCATCATAGGTTATGATAAACATTTCCTATACTTTTGTATGTATAGGGAAAAAACATAGTTTTATATAAAGTTTGGTACTATCTGTGGTTTCGGGCATCTCCTGGGGTCTTGAAACCTATTCCTTGTGGATAAGGGGGTATAGCTATATTTAAACTATATTTAAAACTAGTGAGAAACATTCCAACATTCTAGGGGAGGAGACTAATATAAAGAAAATAAATGCGTAAAGTAAATGACACACTGGATACTGATAAATGCCAGGGATAATAATAAAGGAGGAGATGGGGCACTGAGAAAGTGAAATTTGAATGAAAGTCTAAACTAATTGAAGGGACAAAACATAATCACAGTGGGAGGAAGAACATTTCAGGCAGAATTGCAAGTGAATTGCTTATATGCCTGGCACATTTGAAGATCGTAAACAGAAAAAGTTTGTAATAATGAAAAAAATGAGAAACTAGTTTTTAAAATGTAGTGAAGAGAATAGGGCATATAGTTGTGCGCATATACCAATATGTATAGGAAAAGCCCAGCTGGAAAAACATAAAATGGTTAAAAGTAAGATTAAGGGTGATTTTTGTTCAATTTTCACTTTTCTGTGACTTTATTTTTTTCTAACAGCCTTAAGTTCCTCTCACACTAGAATTTGCATTTTTAAAACTCATTGGGCTAGAATGGATTGAGCAGCTGGAAGAACTGTACAATTATAAAATGTGGAAAATAAACCACACATCTGATATTAAATACCAAAATTTCCACCTAAAACCATGCCAAGTTCTTAGTCTTGTACAACAAGCGATGAAAAAAGTCCTATCAATAAAATATATTTTATTCTTTTCCCAGAAGAATTGCTCAGCCAACAAATACCCAGACAAGAAACTTACTGTCTCACAGTGAGAACATCAGCCTTACGCTTAATTTAATTTATGACTTCATAGCAACTCACCAAATTTGAGATAATGTCTTCACATTCCTTATTAGTTTAGTGAAGTATCTAAAAAGGCACAGTTGAAGCCTTAGCAGATGGCAAGCTTCAGTCCCTGAAATGGTATTACAGTTCTTTCTTTGCTGGGAGTTGACAGATGGGTCTCATCAGATGGGTATCATCACATACCTCCAGGGCAGAGAATAAGTGCACAGAGATTTCAAGGGGACAAATGTGCTTAAAGAGCACGTGCTGGTTCTGCCAGCTAAATCAATAAGGGACAACTGATAGTTGGAACTATCAAGTCATGTTGGATCTGGAAATTGCTCTTAACCTTTGCCTTCATTTGCAGACTGCCAACTCTGGAAAGAAACATCCAAAATCTAAGTGGATCAGATGGGATGCTGCACAATGGCATTCTGATTAGGCTGTATTTTTTATGAATGGCCTATCAGGGTTGTTAGATTTTAAGCTGAATTGCCATCTCTTCATATTGTATCTCCAGCACATTACCTAGAACATAGTAGGTGAAACACGTGTGGTGAGACTTGTTCTTTCATATGTTGGATGCCTTCCAGCCCACAGAGATAGCTATACATGCTGAGCACTCTAAAAGGTCAGCAGCACATTTAACAGAAGCTTTACCTTCAGTTTTATGTAGAGCTAGGATTAGACTCAGATAATGTCTTTGCCCTCAGTCATGCAAATTTGTTAACTCATGGGATTACATCATCATCGCAGGTTCTTGTGATTCAGCTAAGTGTCCACTTGCATATATGTAGTAGACATTTTCTCCTAGTTCTGTTTATTCCTTATTATAATTGGTGATGTTTTAATTATTTTTGCTCATTTTATATATCAGGGTAACATCAGTTGCCATAACCAACAGTTATTAGTATTTTTTAAAGGTTTTTTTTTTTTTTTTTACATAAGATTTTATTTTTATTTATTTGACAGAGAGAGAGACAGTGAGAGAAGGAACACAAGCAGCAGGTTGTGGGAGAGGAAGAAGCAGGCTTCCCGCTGAGCAGAGAGCTGGATGTGGGGCTCGATTCCAGGACCCTGGGATCATGACCTGAATTGAAGGCAGATGCTTAATGACTGAGCTACCCAAGAGCCCCTTCTTTGTCATATTTAACCATTTTTAGCTTAAAGTCTATTTTGTCTCATATAAATGTAACTAATCTTCCATCCTTTTGATTGCCATTCACTTGAAAGGTCTTCTTCCATTCTTTCACTCTCAGTCCATGGGTCCTTTAAGCTAATGTGAACATCTTGTCTGCAGCATCACTGCTGTTCAATAGTACTGGAGTCCTAGACAGAGCAATCAGGCAAGAAAAAGAAATAAAGGCATCCAAATTGGAAAGGAAAAAGCAAAACTCTCTCTGCTTGCAAATGACATGATTTTACATATAGAAAATCCTGAAGACTTCCTCAAATACTGTCAGAACTAATAAATTCAGTAAAATTATAAGATACAAAATCAATATGCAAAAACCAGTTGTTTTTCTATACACTGACAATGAATTATCTAAAAAAGTAATAGAAGATAATTCCATTTACAATACCATTGAAAAAATAAAATACTTAAGAATAAAGTAAATCAAGGAAGTATAAAATCTGCACACTGAAAACTGTAAGACACAAACAAATGGAAAGATATCTGATGTTCATGGTTT